TGAATATCTTTCATTATATTCTTACTACCAATCAACATTTAGTCATTGAACTTTCTGAAAATCCATAAGAAGGAGTATCAGCCAATTTAGTTATCTTCAATTGTTTATTTTAACTCAAAACTGTTTGATTTACACTTTTATGTTACAAAATAGAAATAAGAAAACGCAACAAATACAAATACATTTTAATGTTTTCCTAGTAACTGTTGATTCTTTGACATGACAATAAAATAAACTTTTATAAACACAAATAATAAATTAAATTTACTATCCATAGTTTTATTAAATACATTACTTAATAATCAAAATGAAATTTGAGAGAATCCTATAAATCTTCAGTACATTTTTTTTGCTTAGGATTTATAGGATTATCTTCTGAATATATAAGCTAAGATGCATTAAATAAGAACTTGCTGAAAATGCCTCGCTTTCCTCCATTCTTGTACAAAACATATGGGCTTGATTAGACAAAGTTAATTTCCACCTGGAATTCGTCCTGATGCATGGGTGGATCGTCGAGGCGAAGAGTTCTCGGTGAAAGTAATGCGGATGGCGCGATGTAGGTAGATAGATGTGTGTGTGCAGATGCGGAGGACTGTGCTGATACTTTTCGTCGGGGCGAGGGCGGCGAAAGATTGATATTGTAATCTGCTTAGTAAAAATTGCCCTCTGGCCTGGAGACTGTGCAGCGTATGTGTACAATATTATCATAGTATTACGACACGTCAGGGAATGATAAATGGTCCAACTACGGACCAGTCGACCAGAAATACAGTCGACTTTCCTTCTCTCCGCAAATGCATGCAGCATGCAAGCCCAGTCGCGCTGCATACAAACGACATTCCGAAAATTGCAAATAAATAAATTAATTCCACCTCAGTCTACTACCACAATGAACACAAAAAAGAAGAATCACAAGAATTCTAAAACATAATACAACTTGTTACCATTACAACTTCTTAAAAGTAGCTTTAATCTTTCTAACACAAATTTATTTCGTAAGAAAAAGATTTTCTTCTTACATAATTAATATTAATACTTTTTACCTTTGAAATAAAACTATATTATTATGAAATAAATATAGCGGACAAAAATATTACGTTCGAACCCATTTTAATGAAAATTTAAAATAAACTTTAATAAATTTAAAGAAAACCTTACGTAATACAATCAATATTCGTGAATCTGATAAAATACAATTTAGTTATATAAGCCATTTCTTCCTATTCTTAATTTCATTAATTTAAATCTTATATATTGTATTTTCAATAAACGTAGTTTTCTCTGCTCTTATAACAAAATATAAATATAGCTAATAAATCAAGGAAATAAGATATAAGTTGACTGCACATTGGTTCTTTAAAGTTAGTTTTAAAGTCACTAATGCTAATCTTGTCATCAATATCAAAAAATGGAATTAAGTGGAGATAATCCCGGATGATAGGAAATAACGATGATGCCGTTAATGTGTAGAAACGTGTACAAATGCGATGGATTTGCGGGCCCGTATCTGCGGAGAGTTTTGCGTGCGTTCGCTATTAATGTAAGGATTTTCGGTATGCAAATGAGGACGAGGGGGTGGACTCGGATGAGGCTGGGGACGGGCGCAATCCCGTGAGGACGTTGGGACAAATTCGTCCCGAAATGGCGGCCGACGTCCTCATCAATCATCGCCCGCGTGGAAATATCATTTTCCCTTAGCATCAATTTCCCCAAACAGCAAGAGAAGACAAACCGTAGAGTTCTGCTGATCATTCACGTTTATCATATGAATAATAATAATTACATATAAAAATAAATACTATTTTTATTTCATTTCACAGAAAGTTAGTTTATATTATAATATATTTTGGTTAAAAAGATTAAACAATTCGTAGATTGATTCCGCTTTGTCCTCGACAATAATAATGTAATGGTGGATTGGGGTTACGGAAAAAAACACGGGGACAAAAGTCATAACATCGCTTTTGATCCGAGCACAATGGTGGACGGGTTCAATCGAGCGTTTCGCTCACTTCATTTTTCCTCTTCATTCATTTAACTAAATAATGCAATCCAGGTGAAATGCATTACTATATTACCGAAGACACAACATTGAGTCACAAGGCTCACCCCCATTACACTGGCTAACCAAAATATCAATAATAGCAGAAGGAGAGGAAGAAGACGGAAAGGAAAAAATAAACAATTGGCGTAATTGTTTCCATCCACTTTGCGGTCTCGCTTGGATGTGGTTTCCGAAGAGGTTGAGGACGAGACGAGAAGATTATTTGTGAATGGGCCGTTCCATTCATTCCCAGAGCACACGCGATATCGAACATATCGATTTCATTCCGATCGATATCGATTTCTTCTGGGATCTCGACACTGCCCATAAATACACGTTCTGCTGAAGGAAACTTCGGCGACAAAATAAATGTGCAACAAAACAAACAATAACAAGAAAATGAAAGAAAAAAAAAGCGAACACTTTTTCCTGTGCAGAAAATCGAAATGATTTCTCCTACGCCCGTTACTTTCCTTTTGACGGCAAAGAGGCTGGATAAAAGGGCGCGAGCTTTTCTTAATTCAACGAGGGTAGTTTTCACTGCTGGAATTGCCAAATAAATTAGTATCATTTCTCAGGAAGCGAATTTATTGCCGTCATTTTGGCTGCGCCTGACGTTCTTTTTTCTTCTTACTCTCTCTTTCTTTTCTTCTTCCGACACTCTTTCCCTCAAGCGCTTCCTTCCCCACCGGAATCTAAAGTGCAAATCCTGGAGCAACATTCGAATTATGTAATTACGCAATTGATACGGTGTGAGAGGAATGTAAGGAAATCTTCGGATATCGGATTTCGCGAAAGAAAGAAAAAAAATAAAAATAATCACGTAGAGTGGGAGCTCTCCTGTGCCTTCGAAAGATCGATCGGGGTATAGGTTTTTAGTTTTCGCTCGGAATCCTCGCGGTTTTAATCGGTAGTAATTTGTTCGTGCATTTTGTTTTCCCTTTCCCTTAATAAGTGAGTTTTTTTGTGTAGGGGTTTGTTGTTTGAGGGTCCCAAAGGGAGCGAACGCGCGAGAGAGTGTGCGGTTTTATCCTTTGTGAAGATCAAAGCACACTTTGCGTGTGCATAAATCCGCGCTTCAAAAGCAAAACCGTCCCTTCTCCCTCATCCCGCAGATTCATATACATATCATTTGGCAAATGACAGCAAATGTATGAATGCTGAAGATGGCATAAAAAATATAGGGAACATAAATCTATTTAATAGAAATCGTAATAATAACTCGCCTATGAAAACTCTTGTTGATATAGAGAGAGAAAGGAATATATTGAAGAGAGGAGAGAAGAATGGATAGACATATTTTGGACTTGACAAAAATTGGATTTTGATTGATCACTCCATGCGTGAAATTATGTTCTGATCCATATTATGTGTGTGCTCTTTTTTTCTTCTTCCTTCTTGTGGTACCTGTGTATCGTGTACATGGGCACGTGAAAGAGCCAGGCAAAAAAATGGTTATTAAAAATCATTTTTAACGTGTGGAAATTCTTAGGTATGAAAAGAAAGTTGCGGCGGTCCAAAGGAATATTCGTGAATATAAACATCAGTTCAATCACTTTTTTTCAGTTATTTAGTTCATTAATTTTGAATATATAACTCAGTCCTAGTCAATTTAATTCTGATTATAACAAATATATTGATAATAAATAATAAAGCTAAAGGTTCAACCACAATTCTGATTGTAGCTTGGTGCGATGCTTACTTTTTTTATTAATAAAAAAATACACACGTATCTAGTACTTATGAGAGAAACCTTGTAACAAATACGCATTTAAATATACATATGCAATAGTTCCACCATTTTTTGAAAGCTACATGATTTGTTTCAAAAAAATAATAAAATCTTCTTAGTTACTTTGATTACATTTAATTATATGAATTATCTATTTACATTTATTTATATATATTAATTTTAAATACAATATTATAAATAACTTCATAATATGTATCTTTAAACTTTAATACATTTATAGAAATTATTTTATAGAACAAGAACAAACAAAATAATAGTAATGGTTAATTGAGTAATATTACTTATTTTTCATATAACGGAATGTTTTGTTTTTTTAAATTTACATTTAACATTGTATCAAATTATTGTCAAATTTACTAAAAGGTAGCTTTAATCAAATAAAAACAGTTATTTTTAAAGCAATAACCACAGTGGATCTTACTTGATACTTTTTTTCTTAATAAACAATTTAAGTTTTATGGTATAATTTTAGATTTAATTAAAACTGAAAATATAAAGGATTTGGAAGCTTCGGATCAAATGAATTGAGTAACGGTTGAGATGGTTATTTTCGTGTGCGAAATGTATACAGTAAATATTAATGTGTGAATCAGTTTGCTCAGTATACAAAACATAATCAGGGATGTATTGTAAAGGTATGTCATTTATTGTTGAAAGGGGGGAATTTGCGGCTAATGAAGATCGGGTTTCGCATTTTTTGTGCGTGCGATAAATAGTCGCGCGTGGTGTTGCGTAAGCTGAAACGGACGGCCGCGACGAAGTCCGAGCCAAAAGTGCCGGAGGAGAGAGAAGATGCGGTGGTAATTATAGGAACAACGGAAAACGGGAATGGGGGAAACGGGGGGACGATCGTGACAGGAGGGGTTGGGGGCGGGACGCATGCGCTCGCCGCCCGCGATCACTCGAAAACCACCAATGGGCGCCCGGTGGGCCGGCGGTCGACGGCAGCGCAAGCGCTACCCCTAAACGCATCCGGCCTACCCCCTAATGCCTTCCACCTCAGATTAACTTAAAGTCAACCGAACCCGTGAAAAAAAAAGAATAGCGTAAAGAAGTAGCAAAGAAAGATACGAAACAAGAAGAGCGGATATGCTAATAAACAATAAGGACTACATCAAGAGGGATAGAGATAGATAACTCTGGAATCATCGAATGGAACCGATGAGAAGCAACAGTCGGGAATGCTAATTAATCGCGCGCTTTGATTGATTCGAAAATTATTCCGGGAATGACTGGTATATTCAACGTAACGTTGTTTGTTCTTCGGCGACGTGAGTCCGATGATGCTTTGCCGATTTTATCCCTTGTTCATCCAGGGGTGCGAGGCGGAATGAGCGCGTCAAGAGGCGAGCGAGTTTGACTTTGCAACCGCTGTGACACACAATCCTGTGACTCTGTGGTGGATGTGACTCCGCCCCACGGCGACAGGACTCGACGTTGCCTTCTCAGTTAGTCCTGCATCCAAACTGTGCGGCGTCGGTCTCATCCCGACGGCAAGCGTCGCTATCCTCTCACAACAAACAACAACAAACAAACAATAAACTAATAACAACAATCCTCCCTCGCGTTGCGGCCGATAATACACGCAGTTCAGTTCTCTGGTGATACTACGTAATACTACAGTTTCTTACCTGGAGACTTCTTCTATGCTTCAAAGACCGTTTCACCGGGAAATCGTTTAGTGGATGTGCAGTGAAATTGGCAATCTGGAGACCGCGAGTTTGGCCACTCTTCTATCTCTGAGGCCATCGGGTGCGGCCATGGACCTCACAACCGCATACCGCTACAATCAAAATATGATGGAATACTATACGTGTAAGAACAAACAAACATCATTTTCTCTCCCAACATTGCATATGCTATCATTACCTCTCATAGGTTCTCTACCTAAATTAATCTACAAACATATCAACAGTTTTATTGCATCTCAACATCAATCACAAATTTCATCTTAAAGAAAAAATGCAATACAATCCATAATAATCATTAAATCATTAATCAACAGATTTATTCTAACCAATCAAAATAAATATTTAAATCTTTTAATTATGTATAATGTGATCACAACACGCCGATAACTTTGTAGTTAATTCAAGTTACAACGTATATCGTCATTCAGTTTAAATGACATTGAATCCAATCTACATCATTTACAATTATCTAATTTGAAAAGATTAAAGATAAAATCTTCAATGTTGTTAGAAACCAATTGCAATCATTTGTTGTCATTGACAACCAAAAGACTGATATATTTATTTTACTTGTTTTTAAATTATAATTATTATTAACTCTGCTATTTTTAGTACATTATTATATCGTAAAAATGTTATTCCTTTAAAAATATATAAATAAATATTACATGTTTATTATACATAATACACTAATAGTTTTTTTTTAATATTATCATCTCTATCAATTAGATAATCTATTTTCTATTAATATGTTTCTATTGTGAATATTCCTTTGTAATAATTTATAATTAATGTTTCTATTTTTAATATGTAATTATTTGTAAAATTATCACAATGTTTTTATTAATATCAATTCCATTCATTTCAAAATATAGATCAAATCCAATTATGTTTTGTGTTTATTTAAAAATTTCTATTTTCATTAAATATATACTTTAAAATTTTCATTTTACATTTCTAAGAAACGTATATTTATAATGAATGATGCAAAATATATTTTTAAATTATATAGAATTATTTTAACCAGATTTTTTCTAAAAGAACAGAATTTTTAAATAAAATAATCTAAATTAAATGAAAAATATATATTAAATAGTTATCTTGTATTATTATATACAATTAGTGATTTAAGCAAATGATTTCCACTAAACTAATTACTGAGTATTTACCAAGGAAATGCAGTTATTTTAACGAAGGAAATTAATCATTTAAATTCGTTTTATCTTAGCAATCAAACAGAATAAAAACTGTATAGTAAACTCTAGCGTTTTGCATCCACTTTTCATAATTCATATTTTTCCGTGAATAATAATAATTGGGGTATATCAAGTTTCGCATCTCTCTGGACGTGACTTCGCTCGCCGTGCCCGGATTGTTCATTTCACTTTCGCCATTCGCGTTCCAAACTGGTTACTTACTACTTTGTCTACAGGAATTCATCCAAAAATAAGATTCTTAGTTTAAAATTATTTTACAAAGAAACAACTAATAATTTGATTTAAAAATATGTTTTTTTTCCCTTTTTATTAATTGTAAAATAACTGAATATAAATATTATTTTAAATACATATATTTTGATTAATGTTAGATAGGATCATCCACTTTTATTCTAGTTAATTATCAGATTTATACGTGCGTGATTCACTATTAAATCGTGTAAAATAAATTAACTACCTAAATATAATAAATATAAATACCTTTACAATTTTATTGTAAAAATAACTTTATTATCATAATTTTCTTAAATGGCATCTATACAAATACTTTGAAATATTTTTTTTTGTTTCATTAACAAAATTAGTTTTACTATATTCGTTTGTTAATTATAGTTATGAAATACTTATACTAATCAATAATACAGATGACATTGTATGAAATTCACGTGTTCTGGTAAATGGAACAGAATGTTGATAAATCTGGTTTTCATCCGGTGGATAATCCGTTTATTGTCCGGTCTATACGTGCACGATGCTCGATAAGATTGTGGAAAACAAGGACGAGAATGGACTGAGAGGACAAAAAGGGGGGTGAAACCTTCGAACAAGTGTTTGAGAGCGATATTATCATAGCAATTCCATTATTACATATTTAAATATATGTTTATATATGAAATACTTGTATACGTGGCATAATAGAATCTTTGAAAATTGAATAAAAAAATATATTATTGATTATTATAATGAAAATGTACAAATACTTTCATTAATTTAAATAGTTTAATTGCTTTCATAGATTTAAAATATTTTTGTTTTGATGGTTTATTTTGTAATTATTTTTGCTACATTCACTAAATTAGTTCGCGTTGGAATTTGCTGCTTATAATTATGAGGTAATTATCATAATATGTAATTCGAATGAAATTGTAGAAAATTCAGGTGTTCTGATAGAAGGAACAGAATGTCGGGGAATCCGGTGGATAATCCGTTTATTGTCCGGTCTATACGTGCGCGATGCTCGATAAGATTGTGGAAAACAAGGAAGGATAGAAGGGCGGATCCTCGAACAAGTGTTTGAGTGCGATATTGTCATTTGAACGGGGTGGATCGTCCAACGGGGGAGGCGTAATCTGGAATCGGTGCGGCACTTCGACACCTAAGCTATCTGATCCGTAGATACGATCTGGAACGAGGCATTAAGTGCATTACAAAAAGCTTATTTCAATTCAGAGTCGAGTGGATTGGGGCGTGCAACCGTCGGCGATGGAGGCGGCGAGGGGCAATACGGATTATTAATATTATTAGTTTACTTTCGTCGTCCCCTAAAAACGATTATCAGACTTGGCAGGACCTGCCCCAAAAACACACACATGTTATGATACTTATCTGCTTATCGTATTACAAGCTCGCGAAGGGGGATTCCCTGGTTTCGCGTTTCTTGGTCATCGCGCTTTGTTTTGTTTTTTTTATATACATCGTTTTGTTGGTTAGTATTTCATTAGTTGAGCATTTGGTTGCTCTATCCGTTCGAGCAGCTGCCCGGAATTTATCACCTCACCGAAAACACAATGCAACCCCGATGGAAGGAAGGACTGAAAAGCTTCAATGGGTAGGAAAATCTGCAAATCTGGCCTAGAAGAGAGAGAGAAACGACGGCTACCTTTTATTTGCATGTTTATCAATATGCAATTAGCTCAATCGTAATTTACTACAGTTTTGAAGGCGAATTCATTTTCGCAGACATTATTATGGACAAGATAATAATTATCTATCTGTTTCGAAACTGCGACAGCGAATTTATTAAAGGAAACACGTGCGATTTTATAAAAATTCACCAATCCTATTCCGTAAGTAAACGCAATTTGTAATTCAAATACTATAACATATTTTTGAGACATTAATCTTCATCGTGTCCAGACCATAATTAATATATTTATCACCACCTTGTAACCAATAACTGCGATGATTATTTTACTAATTGGTTACCAACATTTCTTTTCGATCTTTGAAATTTTTTTTTTTGGGATGGGGTGGATTTTGTAAGATAACAAAAAACGAATACCATTGAAATAATTAACGCTGAAATGAGCGGCGGGGTTTTATTGAATCGCTCGGTAATAAATCAGGTTTATGGTTGGCGGTAATTAGTGTAAGCTTGTAATTGATTGTTTGGACCTTAATACTGATTTATTGCGAATATATCGGAGAGAGCCCAGCAACACTAAACACGTACACGTCCAGAAGGAGACCGGACAACCTATCCTTCTCTCATTCTCGCGCACAAACAAGCTCTATTATTAATAAATAATTTCTGCAAAAAGGATCAAATCGACGCGAAATAAAGCAAACCGTATTGACAAGAAGAAGAAAACGCACTTAATTATAATTACGTGCAATTATGTCAGGAACAGGTGGAAATAAATTCAGGCATGTTTTATTTATTTACTTATTTTTATTTATATTATATTTTTTTAATTCCTCCGCTCGCTTCTTCTTATAAATTATAATTAAATCAAGCCTTTTTATTTCGATGCGCTTTTAATATTAATCGCGTTAATGGAACTTTCCTATTTGTAATTGTTTTGTATTTAATTTAATTCTACTGTGCCGACGAATTAAAATGCTTTTCCTATTGTTGTTTATTGAGGAAATGGTTATTGAACCATTACTGTTCATTAGAACCGAATATTATCCGTAATGATTAAACAATGTTACTATTAAAGAAAGTATCTTTCTTCTTCTTCGCTGACGTGAAGGTAAATTATAATGAAATACCTTTTTTTGGGACAGGAAACGTTCTCTCATTAAAATACTCTTAGTTATAAAACATTTCAATAATTGTTCCATTTCATGTGCATATATATAAAATAAAGAAATAATTAAGAGAAATTCCAGAATTAGATAATCCGATATTGTATACGTGGCAATGAAAAAAATATTTGGCCGTATTTCGCAAACAAACATAGTCTTACGCATTGTTAATAGTTTAATTGATTCTTGAAATCGAAAATATTTTTTAGTTCAGAAATATATTTTTTTTGCATTTACAATCTGCTCTATTTACACATTCAGAACTTTCCTTTATATCTTTATAACTGATCTGAAGCGTGACAATCATTCAGTTGTGATTCTAGCTTCTCTATATATTTCTTGTATAACTTTATGATTACTCAATAGCTTGAAGTAAAAGTTTTTGATTAAATATATGTCTATCATATTATTATTATTAAACTAAACCTGAGCTTATTTAAATAACTGTCAATGAGAATCTACTAGAATTACTAGAAAAATGATAATCATTCGTAATTGAATATGAGTCAATTTTTATTTTCCCATATCCTTTTCATCCTTGATCTGTTAATGTAATCTGTATATAATAATATGTACGTCATTTGCAAAGTGACCTTAGGTTTAATGGTGTACACATATTTTTTATTCTCAGAAAATTTAATTCGATTTTGCAACTAACAACAAATGCATTATATATTTATTTGCGAAAGAAAATAATGGTATTATACAAAAAGAAACGAAACTGAAAACAACAGCATTTACAGTTATGATAATTATCGATACGGATTTAAATAGCATTCCTTGCAAAAGGCTACTGACCCTATCTATTATTATGTACGTAATTCATTTTAATACATATAAAACTATTTTTTTTCTTGTTTAAAACATATATGATTATTATTTTAGTATAAATAAAATAAATTTGTATAGCGAAAATATCTTTATTAAAATGATTATGTTTTTACATTATAATTTATGTTTAAATGCATTAAACACATTAGCAACTTCTTGAACAAACTTGATAATAACATTAAATTATTGATTCGGTTTGTTTTAATTCACCACAAAACCTGCTTTAAGAGTACTAAAATTATAATATGAAATATTTTATAAACTAGTTATGTTAAATTCGCTACACAACCACAAGTAACTTGCTTAATATGATTAATCTTCAATATTATAATTGTATATTGTAATTACTAGAATCTCCCGTGATATTTGACAAGTACTTGTAGAAGTTATTTAACAAGTAACCAATGTAACTCTATATATTTTTATGCAATATTTTGATAATAAAATTTATTCCAATAAATTACCATAGTTGTAATGACACAATAAGAAAATTAAAACCAAATTGATGAATATTTATATTTAACAAACGTTAAATATAAAAATAAATGAAACAAAATTCAAATAATTTAATAGATTTTCAATTATTTATAAATAACTTAAAAACCTATAATGGTTAAAAAAATTGCCGACGGCAAAAATAATAAAATATAAATTAGTTTTTAAAACAATCACATAAAAAATATATCAAAGTTACATGATATATTTTTTATGTGATTGTTTTTTCAATTGTTACATTTTATATCATAAAAAAATAGATATTTAATTATTAGATAATCCAATCAATAATTAACAAACCTTTGCATTGCAATAACAAATTCTTAGATAAAAAGAACTTTTACCTATTGTTAATTATGTAATAATCGAATATTTGCTAGTTACTACAGATTTTTCTATTTATATTTAAGAAAATTAGTTTTTTTATCTTGATATTCCTAGACTTGATTATTATATGGTTAAGAGGGTTGTAATTAGATGGAAGTGAACCCTCAATAACAAGAGTTATTGAAGATGATCTAATTTGGGGTGAGTCAAACTGTACGTATAATTTAGAAGATTAATACAATGTGAAGAGGTCGGATGGGGGTAAGGTATGAGAGTTGCAAGACGTAAATGTGTTTTTAAGTATTCGCACGTGGGTGTTTGTCGCACGTGTTTGCGATAAGACAGGGAGTGCATTGAGTTGGCTTCGAAGGTGGATGGATGGATGGTAGGATAGAGGATGAAGGCTGTAGAGGTATTGAGGCGAGGAGGATTTTATAAATAAGTCGGTTTCGGTTTGACGGTACGCAGGCGGCGGCGACAAGTCATTGTGCAGAATGATGCCGCCGCCGGAACAAAGGCGAGTCTGTTCGACTTCGAGCTTCGGACTAATTGGAGGCTAAACATAGATCGTCCAAGAGAGCGCAGCGCGTTTATCAGGCAGCTTCTATCTGCGACCTCACCGACATCAACTTTGTGTGCACCATCGGGGTGGTCCTCCAAAGCCAAAATCGATTAGATTATACCTAATATCGTGATGGTGATGATTGTACTATTTTTTTTTCATTCTGAAGAGCTGCGGGGTGGCGATAAGTGCGCCGCAGAAAAATTCGCCGAACGACGTGCCCACCCCCAGCGCACACTGAATCGGCACGCGACCGGCACGCGTTCGCCCCACGGTCGGCACTTGTCATCCCGAGATAAAGCCGCCCGCTTCCGGTGAAAATATTATATTATTTTTGACGTACACACAATTTCAATTCTATGTTGTTTTTTTTTGCTGGCTGTCTCTTCTTTCTCCGCCACCCCCCACATACGCAAGCCATTTGCCCATTATTATGTGATCGACCATAATAAAACTTAATGCGTTTACATTCGCTCCCCCATCGAAAGCAAAAAAATATATATAATATAAGAAATAAAAATACAAACACCGGAAGAGATACAAATGACAATAAGCACATCGCACGATGATGCACATCTTCCTGATTGATTACACACATAAATATTAACGTAAAGTGTATATAAATGTAAAACATATATAGTTTTTATTTAGAAATATTGCATCCTCATGATAATGTCAGAATCTTGGAAATAAGTTTAAACTAAATTATCCACTTAAAGATCTTTTCATGAATAGTTCATAACTTTCAATTGATTTACAATAAAGTCAGCCGGTTTAACACATTTAAATAATTCAAATTATTAAGAAATACAATTACTACTACAAAGAAAATATTAAAATATATGAACAAAACAATACAAAATAATTGATTTATTATAATGAGCTATGGTAATTACAATGATTAAATGTTAGATAAAAGTTAATAGCAAAAATAAGAAACTAAAGAATGTACTAATTAAATTATATATTTAGACTGTTATGCTTAATTAACGATAACAATGTAATGCGAACAACGAAACAGATAGTTCAAGAACGCCGTATTTGTTTTATGTTTTTTTTTCTTCTGCTGGTTAATTGTGGCTGAATCGGATCTGGAAATTTATCGATAAATAATCGATGCGATTAGATTACCATCTGGAATCGAGCTCGGAATTTATTGGCTTCCGCATCGCTTAATCTCGCCGAGTTAATCATATAATTCCGCAATAACCATTTGCATTATGGAAAATATAAATATAAAGTACGTTTCAATCAGATCGGCTTCCCCATTAAAGCGAACTGCTCACCTCTTCTTCTCTTCCTCAAACTTGAAATTTTAAACGAAATGTTCATAATAATATTCATTTTAATAGTTACAATAAAAATACAAACATTAAACAAAAATCAAATAAATAATTTAGGACAATCTCAAAAAAAAAACACGAAAATTTTAATTTGGGATATTATATATTTTTCCGTCAATAAATTCTATTAATTTTCAATCAAACTATTCTTTACAACTATTAGTTGTATTTATATTTTGTTTAGAATCTATAAATTTAATTGATTAATTAATAACAGTTAATTGACAATCATTATTTAAACTTAAAATACTTAATTATTTAAAAATACGACTTTCAAATTTGCTTATAATGTATATTATTTATTATTATTTTTAATTGATTCTTGGATGTTGTTGTTAATTAACGTTATGATTTATAAATGCTTATAGCAATTAAATGATATGTTAAATATACATATGATCGTATACAAGATAACCAGTAATCTCATTGCATCTATTACTTTGTTTTAAATCGTATGCAAAGAAGAGCGGAAAGGAAGACAAAACATTGGATGATCATCGTTTTTGGTCTGTTCTCGATTTGTAAATGTGTGTGTAATTAGAAATCGGAGCGGCTCGCAAGAAAAGGCATTGATAATTTCCTCCGGAGCTTCTGTTTGGAGATTTCCGTTAGTTTGACCCGATTTTGTGCGCGTCTACGTGCTCTTGTGGTCGAACAAAGGCGGCCGATCCGCCGCCTCCGCCCGCTTGCAGCAAAATGCAATAACCATAGTAACGGTGCCAAAAACCACTGCATCACAAAACAGAATTAGATTGCCACTGAATATCACAAAAAAAAAACAAATCAAAAAACGAAACCTATAAACCAAAAACAAAAGGTAAAGAAATACCAATGATAGTAGTAGATTAAGGCTGATGAATTACCAGAACGCGTGCGTAATAATGTTGTTTCTTTTCATCAACTTCGAGGAACTAATGATAATAATAGGAATAAGAAGATGAAGAGCGGAGCAAAAAAAATTGGATAAGTGTATGTATGTGTGTGTATAGGTTGCTTGCATTCCGGAGATAGTTGCATACACTATCTCCACTTTGGATCACCGTTAAGCAATTAATCCGCGCGAGCGCTCCGTGTGTACTTGTACTTACTTTTTTTTGTTTCTTGGTTGTCCTTGCTTCTTCCTTCGCAGTTATATTTCGCCGCGATTGTAAAGTGCATCGAAGGACCGGAAAACTTCTAGGAAAATGCGGTCTCCTGTGCAATTGGTCGAGACCCGAAACCAATCCGAGGAGAAACTCTCTTTACATTATTAATTGCCTTTTTCTTCTGCAATTAACGTGCAGTCGGCGTTGCTGTTCCGCCTCCTTTCCATGAGCTCGTAATCAATGCGCGAATTGCACTGGGGAAATGCTTTGAAACCATTGACCCGAGCCGATTTATTTTTCGCTTTTTTTTGTATTAATTTTTGGTTGTTTTGCTGCATTTCAGGTCACGGTGGGGTGAACCAATTAGGCGGAGTATTCGTGAACGGAAGGCCCTTACCGGATGTTGTGCGTCAAAGGATAGTAGAGCTGGCGCATAATGGGGTGAGGCCCTGCGACATCTCGCGCCAATTACGCGTGTCCCACGGATGCGTCTCCAAAATCCTATCAAGGTAAGCCTCGGAACAAAGAGAAGAAGGTCCTTCCTTCCGTGGACCGCACGCTGCTTCCATCCATCATCCATTCGCAGCGGGGGCGGCCGCAAAACTTATGTTCCTCTCCGCCGTCCCCATTCTTATATTCCCTTCTTCCTCTCTCAAACACAGTGCTTTTTTTATTGTTATAAAATTAAACTTCCTTCCCTCCGCAAATGCATTTCAGAACCACCCCATACTCTTCCAGCCATACCCACGCAAACTTTTTTTACTCTCTGGATTCGCTCGAGGGGGACGAATAAACTGCGGATTTTGGACCAATTAAAGCGCAGTTCATCCTCGATAATTGTTAAATGGCGTAATTGGATTATGTCCTCCGCCCCCGCATGACGATGGATCCGTCACACTCCGGCCGCAATATTATCAAAATAGCATTACGCATCACCGTCATCATCATATTCCAGCCTCTCTGTCTCTCGCACTCCGTTGATGATATAATCCAATTTCGCGTCATCACAAAGGGAGAGAGGAACCCTCCGGAGACCGAAACATCAACATAATAAACTTCTCCTTGGAGTTCGCTTTAATGCCATAACCGTAATGATAATAATGCAATACAGGGTGTGCCAAATTTACGGACAAAACCGCACACTGCATTTAATACATCGGTTATGTCCAAAATCCCATACAAAAATATTCATAATTTACTAGAATTAATCATTATCACAACCATCAATAATAATTCTAAAAATGTAAATTAATCTGCTATTATATAAACAAAAAGTATTTAAATAAACATTCTATTATTAAAATTATGGATAAAAAAAATGTGTCAATTAGTAACGTTGATTGATAATAACACAGTCGACTCTACGTGAGATGTTGTATGAAAAATGTATATGAGATTGTCGTGTACCAGAAAACCAACGCGAAATTCTTGAGATGAATGTGACCAATTCCGGCGCGACTTCGGCGATAAATCAGAGTTTGGAGAATGTCTCGTGCAGAGGACGAGAGGATATTGCATATTTAAGTCGGGCGCGCGTCATAATTTCCACTTATTAATTACCGGCCGATGTTTATACAGAGATGCACCAAACATATAATATAAATTTCCCGCATCCCGAAGGTAGGAGAGGAAAAAAAAAGAGCGAGAGAAAAAAATATATATCGAGGAAAAGCATGCGAGAGCGAGAGATTTGCTAGCGGTAGTGAAATAAAGACGAGGACGAGAACTGGAACAAGAAGATGATGATGATGATGACGGTGTTCGCTCTTCGGGCTGCGGAAAAATCGCGACGGACGAAACTGGCGCAATCGTAAATAATCTGCGAGACAGATTTATTCAGCCATAACTAAGAACTAATTAGAAGCGATTTTACCGCTGAATGCCTCCGACAATATAAAACCGACTCGACGCTAATTCATTATATTAAATGTTGTTATATTACATCCTTCGTGTACTATCTTCGTTTCGTTCCATGCCACAATCCGCACTGTTTATTTAATTTCACTCTTTTTTTTACAATTTGCTTCGTAACAGAATAAGAAGTATATTTAAAAAAAAAACATTACACTAATGCTTTCACTTTAATTTTATTTAGTTACAAAGAAAATAGGAAATACTAATGAATGTGCTTCTTTTGGTACTTAAAAAAATAGCGTAGTAAAAGTGACTTTATGTACCGCCTGAAGCCTGATTTTAAATTCCCAAGTCTTTGCAATAATGAATGTATTAACATTTTCCTGAATACATAAGTGTTACTTATCTTATTCACTATAAGATATTTTTATTAAACATTTAGTTTGTAAACAACTCACAAATTTTGTTTACAAATCATTTGTATATTTAATTTACACTTAAATCATTATTTCGTATCATAACATAATCTTATTTAACACATTTAGAAAAAATAATGCATTTTTATCAATTTTACAAGTGTAAAAAATATTATTTTATACGCGAACATAAATGACGAAGGATTCAGTGTATGATCAATGATGGTTATGATCATGCGAAGGTAACGTTTTTTTGCATTTTACCAACTAACAATTAGTGATTTCTTTTTGGGTCTCCGGTTGCCGCAATATTAATTATCGATAATGATTGAGTGTTATTGTAAAAACAATAAGTCGGAGCGCGTGCTTGGCCCGTAATAAGACTACCTGCTGCTCGGCAGAAGAAAGAGACCGACAGAAAGCGAAGAAACATGTGTGTAAATGTGCGAGTGAAAGAGACGGCGAGTCAAAGGCAAAAAAGAAATCGATTCCCTTTCGGCCTCCTCCACGGCCGATGCCGCCGCCGCAGCCGCGGATCCACGCGGTTCTGGATCTCCTTCGGATCTTCCTTTCTTCCGTGCCGTCACAGTAAGACGTAATTCAGATCATTACCCTCCGCCAATTACCGAAACGAGAATTACACAATCGAGAAATTAAACGGACTGACTGACCGGCCATTAATAATAAATCACCGGGACGGTATGTGTTTAAAGAACACGAAACTCTTCCTTTTGATTTATGACTCGATACCAGCGTTGGTCAGCGCGAAAGAGAGGAATGGACGAAAAAAAGCTTCTCCTAATTTATAACTTAATTTCTTCATTCCTTATGGTAAATGCAAACGATCGCTATTGAAACTTGTTGATTCTAATATCTATATATAAAGTCACCGCATCGTTTTACATTTCGTTTTAGTTCAATCCAAATTAGAACTTCCTTCACTGACAAAGAACTTCCTCGAGGAAGTGCAAATATATGTTTCTTGTATTTAATATAATGTTTGTAATCATTATCATTTTGCTAATTTATTTTTTTAATCTGTTCTTCAGGTATTATGAAACGGGTAGCTTCAAAGCTGGAGTGATCGGCGGGTCGAAGCCTAAAGTTGCGACGCCGCCAGTCGTTGACGCCATCGCCAACTACAAGAGAGAGAACCCCACGATGTTCGCATGGGAAATCAGGGATAGACTGCTGGCCGAAGGGATCTGCTCACAAGACAACGTTCCCAGCGTCTCATCAATTAACAGGTGAATACTCAAGAAACCCTTGGTATATTATCAACTTAATAGCGAGCGATTCGAATGCAACGAGTGCTGTTCTCGGTGGGACATCTGTTATTTTATTAATCAGGCCCTCTGGAGGGGCAGGAATTGGTATGCGATTATGTGAGTGCTTGTGTGAATTCGGTGGCAGTAATGGACCGGGCCCTGGGGAACGCCGGTCAAATTAAATGTGTCAAATCAGGGGGCGGCGGTAGCGGCAGATCCTATCTCTCACTCTCGCCGAGCATTACATAATAGAACTGCCGTCGCGCCCTCTCCCTCCGGTGGGGTGTACGACTGCGATTGAGCAATTGTTTCTAAATGGATTCGTAATAATGCAAACATAAAGTCAGAAGGGATTTAAACATTAATAACGGGAACTCACCCAAAACGGTCCAGTTTTATTTTTTTCTCCTTCCATCACTATCCTTCGCTCGCATTGTTACCAATTGCGGTTTAACTTCTGGAGGAAGATTTCCTGAGCGATTCTTCATTGCTTTGCAACTGCAAAAGTGTCATCGGGTAAGATTAATACTGGCATCGACAATTGAAGACCCACATCAAAGTCAGGTCGAAAAGTCGTTCGGAGTATGCAGCTGACCTTATTCACTCGGACTTCCTAGAAGAAACCTTGCGAGCGATGCGAAATCGTTCAATTTTTCACTCTGCAACCTGCGAATTAGTGCTTTATGAATAATTGTAATTACTGTAGGCAAGAAATGCATATGACATAAACGTGATTGGCTGTCAACGGTTTCCTGTTCGTGCTGTCTATTTATTTATTTTTCCACCATTGGTCGGTTGCGTCACGTGATCGAATGAGACGCCACGATTGGTTGTCTCGAAAACGCTATTTACAGCCGGCCACGTTTACAATAATATATCATAATTAAGCGCGGGTTTAGAATGTGCATTTGGTGCCATATAAAGCCACCTACCTTGCCGTTATTTGCACCGAACATAACTAAAAGCCTCGACCGGGGCTTTTCGCTCTTGTGCGAAATGTTTTTATTATTTATTATCCATTATGCGGCTAATAGAATCGAACGTTTAATTATTTACGCCGATAATTCAGAGCTCGCCCACCTCAGCCGCAAATCGAATTAACCTCACTCGCTCTTACGCAACACAGCCTCCTTACCTGCAAACCACTCTTTAACACCACTTAACAACAACTTGAACAACAACAACAACAAATTATATAACTAAGTAGAAGTAAAAACTGCAATTTGTTAAGAAGTTTCAATCTTAATCGTACCTTAATGCCGTTAAAAGTTTTTAATGTACTTATTTTTAATTGTAATTAGAAGTAAATAGAAATAAATATTTCAGTATTTTAACTTGCACATTGTTGACTTGGGATTATATTTTATACCAACAAGTTTATCGAATTTCGATATGTAATTGACGTACCACGACATTTGGGCTTGAAGAACAGACGCACTACATGTGTGGTCTACATATAAATTACAGCAATAAATCTTAAATAGAGTTTTCTTTCAGCGTATAATTAAAATTTGTAACTCAGTTATGTGTTTATTTGAAAACAAATATTTTTCAAAGAGAATCTCTATTTAAAATACCGTTATATACGTTATAAATGATTCATGCTATAAACAAGGTTAGATTTCATTATTTGGTTAAATAATATTATAATTAGACTATTTCTTATATATTTGAAAAGTTGGAATATTCACTTTAAACCATATAAAAATTCAGAAATTTATTGCAATATAAAATTAAATGTAGTAAATGCAATCATGAAAAAAATGTGGCGAAAACTCTTTATCCAAAAATAATCGAAGACCTGCTAACAAAATAAAGTGTACGAAGGGTGAGCAACCCTTTATCAATGACCAAATGAAGTCGTTCCGAAAATCGAATCTCTGAAAAAGTAAATAATAAAGAGGGGTGCGAGTGGGGCGTGCATTTTTTCGCAATAAAAAGCGGAAAAAATGAATGACCGAACAAATGATAGTCTCGTATTTATTGTTGCGCAACAAAAAAAAACTTGTAATCGAAAGAGAATATAAAATGGCATTTTTATGTCGGGCCTTTTGTGAGTGTGTTCAAGAGAATAGAACAAGGGCAGAATCAAACAGTTGTGTAGGATTTTACATTTTCGAAAGTTGATAATGGTAGTTATTTTATGGACGTAAAACTGGCTATTAAATAATCTGTTGTAAAATCCGATGAATCATTCTGTGTATTAAATTTTAAAAAAATACCCTTTACTTAAATATAATGTAAAAAAGTATATATTAATATTGCAAAAATACAAAAAGAAAAACTAATTTTACATTTCCCTACAATAATAATTACAATAACACAAAGTTAACTGCTGTAAACGCATATAAACTGTAGATCTTTCTACCCGAAATAGTATATATTTTTATAGATTAAAATATCTTTGTGTTATTCGAAAATTTATTGACAATAATTCTATTTGTTATTGTAAATGCGCTAATAATTTAGATAAATATTTCGTTAATTGAGAAAACGTCATTAATCTATATTACAAATAAAAAAGTTCAGGTTTGTTTATGAGTGAAATATGCGGTGTGTCAGTATTGTAATGGAAATGAAGAGGGTTGCAAACAGGCAGGAAAAAATCGCATAATCCCAGGCGTTTCGCATCGAGAAGTTCGGTCCCGAATTAGCATATCGATTCCAGGTTATTTTCTTCCTTCCCCAATTTTCGGGGTTCGAGTTTTGATCGGGCAATTACCGATAGGATCTGGTCTCGTTCGCGGGACCCCTTCTCTCTTTCGTCCTTTTTCTTTTCGTTTATTTTTATTTCTCCTTTCTTGTCCTTTTTTCTGTCTCCCTATTCCTCTTCTTTCCGTCGGTAGGTCTTCCCACGAAAACGAGAAAAATTGAGGAGAAATAAAAGGACGAGCGGAGGCGCAATAAAGAGACGGAGAGAGAAGATGAAGGTTCCACAATCGGAGCAGCGGATTCGCTCGAGTAAGCGGGGGTGGGCCGTGCGGCTTCGATCAAGTGGGCGATTTTACACCAGCGTCGCGGCGCGACGTCTTTGTTGTTTAAGAGGCGCGCGAGTGAGACGGAGGCCCTACGGCCGTTATGGCGGAGGAGGCTGTGCGGAGAGAGTTAGAGGTGGCTGGAGGAGGCGGCGGCGGTGAAGCCGGGGGCGGCCGAAAACCCCTCCGAAGAACCGCCACCCACCCCCCGGGAAAATCAATAAGAGAAGAAAGCCGGTTCCGGAACGCTCGGCTGACTCTCAGATTCGTGAAATCGAGCTCAAACCGATATCCGCTCTGCTCGCCGATGCCGCAAAATGCCACAAGAACTGTTTGTTTGGGCCACTTTGGCAGATTTACATTCACACAAACACACACACCCATGCACGCACACTTCCAAATTCAGATCCAGAGAACCAGAATCGATTCTTCTTTCTTGCCTCTTTCTCATTTTCCTCTTGGTTTTCTCATGTCACCATTTTTTTTCTTCCTTTTATTTGTACGACCGTATTCCCATTTTTTTTCTCAGTACACATAAATTCAACAAGCTGTTTATTCAAATGTTACATTACTTTCTATACAATATTGAATTTCAAATTTATTTTTATAACCCTTTTAGAATCTAACATATCTGGAATTTTTAAATGATTCCAGAAGTCAACAAGACCCATCATATTAATCTTATTGGAATTTCTGATTAGTGATTCTTAAATGTTTGACTCATAACAACAATATAATTTGTTATTCAAATTCTACATATTACTTTCACAAAAAATGATAACCAAATGGTATAATCGTCTTTCACTTTATCAACTAATTGTGTATATACAAATAAAAAATATAGAACATCCAATTGTTAAAACTTATAAATAAGTCTTCTATCTAAATAATAGTATCTACAATGAAATTGTTTTTAAGATTAATTGGAGGTTCGATGATTCTGAATGTGATATTTGTTTCGTTCGCTCCGATTTTCCGATCAACGCTTTAAGCTGTTCCCATCGCAATTATTTCGATCGCCAGTGAACACTGTCATCACCACAAACGAAATTAATTGCAATTGAAATAATGGTGATATAAATACCATAATAGAAACTTATTGAATGAATTGTTACGTCTATCAGGGGCAAACCCGTCGGCACTAAAAGGAAAACTTAATCTAGAGTCGATTAATCCAATATAATCCCCTGATGATGTGCACTTTCTTGGAGGTTTTCTTTTACATTGGTTCCCAATGCATTGGGAGGGCGACAGAGCTGTGCTGTGAGAAGCAGGGGCGGCGGCAGCGGTTACAGGCCACGTGTCTGCGGGAATGGCATCGCGAATCGCGTTGCCACGTGGCCACATAAATTCCGGCCGGCTTTTAAATAAAGTTATTAGAGGACCCAGATCGTACGTGGTATGAGCCCTATCCACCCATGGATGGATTCACTGTGTCGATGGTCGTCGGTTTGCATGCCACGTGCCGCTCCCGAGACCGTAACGACGCGTGGCCGAAGGCTGGAATTTTCGATTCGAGCCGCTTCCGAATCCATCCATCCACTTCTTTCACTCCGTATTCCTCTTTTTTTCATCTGTTCGCTCGCTGTCCCCACCCCCCGCCGTCGCCGTTTTTGAATTATTATTATTAATCTCGGATTAAGAAAAGCGTGAAATTAGTTATGTTAATAAACGAGGTTCTTGTTTTTTTTTTTCTATCCGTTTTCGTTCTCTCTCCATCTATTCGGAGTCGCTTTTCGGTGTAGCATCGTCGGCGACAAAAAATGATGGATCGTCGGTTCCGGAAACGGACATGACGCCATGCCGAGTAGAAACGGCGGAAGACTACTCTACAAACAATGGCCCGGCGTGCGATGGTTTTTATCGCAGTCTCGCAATTAGGCGACGGCCGAGATTCCGACTGTTTTTCCCTTAACGATCTCTCCCCAGCATGAAATGTCATTATCTTAAAGTTTTTTTCTTCCTCTGCCTCCTTCTCCTCTTCCTTCCTCTCCCGCAGGATGACTAATAAAACGAATGGCACCACCACCAGAACGAAGCCAGAAACCAGGATAAAACATAATCTTATATGTAGGTTAACCCACACACACACAAGTTTTAATGCTTCCAAACGGTAGAGCAAGAGAGAGATAGAAAGAGGGAGGATAAACGACGGCCAGGCCTTAAAAGCTTTTTTTCCTGCTGTATCCTTTTTCTGCACTTGCGAGAGGAAAAACCGTACCAGACCAAATAGAATACGGGTTCTGAAGAACTTCGTTACTGCTCAATTTGTTCTCACCTAAAACTCAACCAGTTTTAAATACAGAAAACCTCTCAATAGCATCGAAACATGCAACTACCGATATTTTTTATTATTGGTTCTTGTCCAATTTCGCGCACATTTATTATGCCTCGAAAACATTGTAACTTCGCCCAATATGCTGTTCCTTTAGTAGTTTTGAGATCTTTCCAACAAATAAAAAAAACAAAATGAAAAACGGCTTTCAGTTTGTTCCAACAAATATATTCAGCAATATACATATACTAAAGATAAACTAAACCGATTATTTATACTAAAGAGTAAACAGAATTATAAACATCCAAAATTTGTTTTATTAATTTACTTTCAAAATAATAATTATTCATGTATGTTGCTTGTTACAGAAATTATTATTTTATTTACAATCTTTTTTATTCATATATAATGTATATTGCTTATTGTTATAGATAGGAATACTAGAGAAATTATACTAATTATTAACGATGAGTGGATGCATAGATGTTGTGACTTTTGGATGGGCAATAAATCATAATCAATTGTCGCATATGGGCGCTCCCCTCGGGCTTCTTTTCTTCTAGTGAAATGTCAAGTGTGACGCAAATGATTCGATTGTGTTTGTTGTTGTGATTAGGTAATGAAATTGGACATAAAATTATGCATGTGAGCATCGTCGTCGGAGCTTGGGGGCGGGTGGCAATTGGAACGGAATGGAAACGCCGTATGTTTGGTTTAGTTGGAAGCCCGTATGTTCTCTCTCCATTGCAGCGCGATGAAAAGATCCACTCGACTGATGATAATCTCCTCTTTTCGCACTCTCCCCAGGGGCGCAAGGACGAACATACTGCCTACAAACGAAATCATATGCGCACACCGATATCTGTTACACAAATTGATTCATTCCTTCCTAATGTCACCACTCGAGCATCATAAGCAACGAGAGAAAAAAAGATGAGGAAAAATTGATAGGGGACAAAGTGCGGATCCCAGGGGGATAACACGGGAACGGGGCGTACTCTCAAAGCAATCTTTGATTAGGCGTTATTAGTAATTCGCGGACTTAAGTGGATTTGAGGGAAGCTTTTTAAAAAATAATTGCGGCGGCTTTTGCGGCGGCGGAGGTCGCGGTCCGTTCCGGTGGATGGATTTGCACTCTAATCCGAGAGCTTAAAGCTCCCGCATACATCGGAAACGTACATCAAAATAACCATATTTGCATTCGTTAGAGTTTGATCACAGGGGGTTTTCGTGGGGGGCGGCGGAGGCGGTGAATCGCTTTGTGTATATGTTTGAGTGTGTGTGTATGTGTATCTCATAGTTGTATCCACAAATATAATTTGCGGAACAATTACAGAGAGGCAAAGGCAATGAGAATGTGGGAATGAGCGAGAGAGAGGGAGTTAAGTGCCCGTAGAGTGCAGCTAATCCTGCCGAAGGATCGGGGCTCCTGCAAAGCCCCCAGGCCCACTGCATAGCTGAGCCGCTGAGCTTTCTGCTCCGTATTAGCGAGCCACAAAGCTCTGGATGTTCTGGTGTAATCTAATTTGCAATGAGACTTATTAGTTTCAGCGGCGGCCGACGTGTTTATAAAACCACTCTTTCTCACTCACACTCGTTCCCTTTTCCTTTCTCATCGCATCTCCTTTTTCCGTCTCTTCCTCTCACCGACTCGCATACTTTGCTTCCCCTTTCGCTATTCATTAATACGTACGCACTTTGTTTTCATAATTCCATTATGCACCGCACCGCCTACCACATAAAGCACAATAACCAGAACCGAACCGAGATACAAGTAAATAACTCGAAAATTAATTTTCAACCTTTTGTAAAGAATTTAAAAATATATATATTTTCATTTCCTATTAAGTACTGCAAATTAATTTTATTAGTTTAATAATAAACAATAATTATAATTGTATTGTTAGTCAAATTGTGATAATTATTATATTAATAAATTTTAACACTCTTGTAAATAAGATTGAAAATATCATAACAAAAATAAATAAATCTAATATTGGGTACTAATAAATTAATTACTTTAAATGAAATAAAAATTGTGACATTAAAACAATGTTGTAATATTTTGTATTGAAGTAATATGAGCTGTGATAGTGTTCTCCTGTCAACAAGAGCAGAAATAAATCATTTATTAGATATAGGCCATATTGAGGATTATAGCAATAAAGCCACGCATTTATCTATGGATATTTAATTTCGAAAATTATTATAATCCAATTACGCGGAGCGGGAATGTTTGCAGATCACTTGTTGTTTCTGTTTATGCAGCGGCCGATAAAAAGAGCCCAAACAGGGCTACTAAACCAGCTCAGATAAGCGAGAACAACTGTTCGATGTTGAAATTTCTGCTTTTCCCACATGCAATGGTCGGTATTTATTCCCTTCGATTTCGGAAGTGGTTGACAACTGCAGCTCTTCCTTTTTCTGGTGTCAATGTTGAAAGAGAGAAAGAGTGTGAGTGGTAACCGGGGGGACGCCCCGCCGAGAGGTAGCTTTGAAGTGCGTTTATGGCATAAACATTTTAATGAAGTAGAGGAGAGCCACTTCTGGCTTGGGAATAATGGCCAGGGAGTCTATTTAATAGACTGCTCAATAACACAACGGAATGAGTGAGTGCAAGAGAGCGAGTGCTACGGCATTGTGCTGCGAATGATACAACAACAACAAACCAGCTGCTTTGTATGAAACCGGTGTATAAAAGGTAGTACTACCTAAAGCCAGACAGACAGAAAGAGTGAGCGAGAGGGTGCCGTTAAATATTTGCCGTATTGAAGTGTCAAAACTATTGTCCGGTCCTTTATGTCATTTCTGTCCCGGGGCAGGAAGGTTCAGGCGTAACCCTCCTCCTCCCCTTTTCACTAGCAATTCGAAAATTATTAAGTTGATGTGATTTAATGGTGATTGCTAATATAATGTGTTTCTGTTTCTTTATTGTCCGATTATAGGATCGTGAGGAATAAGGCGGCAGAAAAGGCGAAACATGCTCACCAAATAGCGACAAGCGGCGGGACCGGACCTGGTGGAAACACCGGAACCGGAAACGCGGGCGGCGGAGGAGGCGGAGGCGGTGGTCCCGTCTCCGTCATAGCCCACGCTCCCGCCACCCAACTCACCGAACCCAGGTCAGGAGCATACAGCATCAACGGCATCCTGGGACTGCAACACGACCCCAACGGAAATAGCATCAAGAGGAAACGAATCGAAGATCACGGTAAGCTAACAAACATCCTCCTACAATCTATATTTGCCGGCTGTTTAATTTGGGCTTCAACTTCGATTTGGTCCGAATCTAATCCAGATCTCTGTCGTTCCGGTGAGCCGATTGAAGATAGTGTAGCCCATTATGTGTGCGTTTGAGGTAAATTAGCGGCGAGTGCCGCCATCGCTCAGCCCCGTCCGTCGGCTAATCACCGGAATTAGTCGGCTAATTGCCGCCCCCGCAAAAGCCGCGCACAGGAGGAAACGGCCATCTGTAAAATAGTTATAATAATAGTTTCGTGCCTGCAACGTATGCTCCGCCGCTTTTCAGCGATCCTCTATTTTCAGCCACCTCTTTAAGTTTCCTTTCGTTTCTGCGTTTTCCTTCTATTTCAGTTCAGTTCTGTTCATTTCATCCTTCTTTCACTTCTGCTTCTTCTTTTATATTTTTATTCGTTCGCTTCGTCCCCGTTGCGCTTCCGCTCGTTCGCGTGTGGATGCGCCGGGGCATTATAACATTAGTTTTCCCCGCTGCGAACATCAACAATCTGCGGGGGTGCCCATTTGAGGGCGGCAGCGGTGGCGGCGGTGGACGCTGGTTTGGGTTTGGGGAGGCTGCGGTCGCTAAGCAACGAGCGTGATGTCTTCATAACCCGCATCCGCGCTGATTGGTCAGGGAGGCCGTGAGGGCCGCACTCGGGGGCCTCGTTTTACGCTCATAACGCCATCGGCGGCGGCAGAAGCAGAGGCTGCCGCACAACAACGACCGCGACGGCTCACAGATATCATCTCTCCCCTTCGTACGCTTCATCATTTTCCCAACCGCCATTTTACTAAACCCTGCTCAATTTTCAAAATTCTACTATATTATTTCCAAATATTTACAGAAATAAATACATATTTATAATAATTAATAATTTTAAAAAATACTTACCAATTAAATTATTAAAATACTGTACTAATAATTAATACTTATTTGACAAATCGCTACACTCTACAATTTTTTGATACAAAATTAAAAGATAATTTTATAAAATATTTCATTTTATAAAAAAAGTAAAATATGATGATTTAAAATACCAAAAATGCGAAGATTGTTTGAAAACAAAAATATAAAAATAAATAAAATTTAATTAATTTAATATATTCTATTTCAATTGAATTTGTATAGTTTTAAAAATAATAGCACAGTTTCAATCATCCTGTTACGATGTTATACTAAATGGCGAGACAGTTGCAATGTTCAACGAAGAATAATGTGTGCTGTGTATTAAACAGGTTTCAGTATTAAAATATTCGTGACTGAGATGAATTCGATTTAGAAGTGTGTTGAAGTGGATTGAGTGATTCGATTACACTATGATGAAGTGGTCGAGGTTGCTGTTGTTGTTGTTGATGATGATGATGTGATATAGAATTTGGTGGAAATACGAAATGGTGGAATACAGAGTAGGAATGAGATGGAATAGAATGGAGAGTAAGCGAGTTAGTGAGAGTGGGTGGGTGGTAAAAGCGGAGAGTAAGAGAGAGAGAGGGCACCCCTAAATATGTGGATGCGAGTGGAAACAGCAGCGGAGCACATTTATAGTTCCGGAAATTCAGTTCCGGTCGGGCAAAGTCACCCATCTCGGAGCGTATTGTCAAAGTAAACCGTTCGAGAACGGAATATATTCAACCATTAAAAGCTCCTAGACACTACCACCAAACTCACTCTCCCTCCCTTGATAACATCCTCGTTATTATCACCACTCGCCAACAATTGATCCGCGTCTTTCATCGCTAATGAAATCATCTTCCTAGTTCTTCATCAAATTCTATCATCATGGGGGATTATCAACTCCATATTAACCTTGCATCAATTGTAATTCGATCTGTTTTCATCTATCCATCCTTCTTTTATTTATTTTTTTATTTTGTATATTCTGGAACCTATTTCGATCCCCCTGAAATAAGTTATTAAGCCCCATGCGGGGTTGGTTTAGGCCATAAATAACGTCCCTCCTAAATCGCTGTACGAAATTGTCAAAATATAAATTTATAAATCTCACGGTCCGCGGGTCGCCGCCGCGCTCTGCTCACCGGCCGTGAAGTCTCATAATAGTGCATGTGTTCTCGACTTGTTCAAAAGTCTATTACTATGAAATCACACTCGCACACACAAAAGCCCTTAAATCCCTTAAACCACCCCTCTCGTCGGCAAGGAAGCTACACCGTTTGTTTGTTGCAGCCAGACTTCGCACTTCTTTTTTATATATATATAACTATACATACACACCGTTAGCGGCATTATTTAAACTAACTTTTCACGCGACAAACTTTCACGCATTCATCTTCAACACACTTCGTTGAATTTCGTTACTAAAAACAATGCATAAAGTGTTTACAACTAAAAGCGAACAGTTTCAGAAGTTTAAATAATTAATAGTTTATTGTCCAATATTTATTTACTATTCAAATATTTAGTAAATTAACTTATTGTGGTAAAAGTAGCAAATATTGCCTTTAGTTTATCTTTAATAAATGTTTTTTCTATCACTCTAATTTTATATATCATAAAGTAGTCTTTAAAATATATAGAACAAGTATAAATAATAAAACATATAACTCAATTATATATTTTATTACAAAATATTAATATTATAAAATGTTCTTAAATTTTAGAACGTTTTAGAACAAGATCCAAGATTACATCTGATTCAATTAGATTTGAACCAAAGAAGTATTCTTTGAATGATATTTTGAATGATATTTTATTCAGCCAGTTACTAGTTTACAATCTCAGTCGAAAATATAAGGTAACAATGAATAGCCTAGTTCTTTTAAAATGTGTATTATTTTCACGACGAGTGTGATCGTTGTTTGCACTCGAATTGAATGGACATCATAATTGAAATTAATGCCGGTCGAGCCAATAACAATTGGGGTTTAGCCTATTGATCGCCGAAATTCATTACGTTTTGGGGAATAATTTAAATTGCAACAGCGCCAGAGTTGTTATTATTATCATTGAAAACCATTAATGAGATAAAATCGGCTTCGGCCTGAATGCGTATGTACTCGACTTTGGAGACGATTCATTTTGCATCGTGTCCGAGCATTCGGAAAATGCTTCTGAGTATTGAAAAGAGAGAGAAAGGCACATATAGTGAGAGATGAAGAGAGGGAGGCAGGGATGTGACACCCCTTGCGTGCATCCCCCATGGACCAGTCAATATAATCGCAATAACACAACCCCTAAAAAGCCAATCGTCCAAACGAATACTTTCATTGAACAGAGGCACGAACGACACAATGAAAGGAAACTCAACGACTCGAGTCTAGCACCGAAATCTACCCCCAAACCTTCGCCTTATTCTCCCTTTAAGGAGCACAAAAAATAAGAAGAGGCGAAATAAAATAGGGAAGTTTCGGATTTGTTTAATGCATTATTAATGGAACTCCCCGGCAGAAAAGCTGGTTCTCGTTTTATGTTTCTCTGTTCCTTTTTTTTCTTGTTGTTGCTGTTATTTCTTTCGCTTGCTTTCGGGAAAGATGATTCTTTGCGAATTTTATTTTTGGGGAAACACCGGTGCAAGTCTGAAAGTGTATTAAAATAATTAAGGAGCACTTGATTTAGGATTTGCGGAAGCCGAGGGGACCCGCTACCATTTGTTTGGGTTAAAAAGCTGAGTCCCGATGTAACGTAATGGATTAGGGGTGCAAAATTATTATACTATTATATTGCGCCGAGGGGAGTGGAAAAGTCGAATATGAAATAAAGCAGAAGCGAAAGTATTACAATACACAAAGGCCTCTTAAATGTCACGGGGGGCGGTGAGGCGCTCCTCGTGCGGTCCCAACGTTTTTATTTCATTACATGTTATTACTATAATCTCTTCACTCTCTCTCATTCTTTCTTTCTCGCTCTCATCTAATTTTTTATATTAACTTCGGAGCTTGTCATTTCAACACAAACAGATCAAGGTGGCTGGGCGGCGGCGATGCCAGGGTCGCCATTTGCGTTCGATTAAAATGAGAGACGGACGGTTTGATCTCTCAATAGATTGGAATCGATCCTGTGGGAATAAAAAGCCCGAGGGCGGCAGCGGCGGCGGCACCACCGGACAGGAACCAATTAAAATCATTCGCCAGCCTTTTGTTTTCCACCGAACTAATATCGCTTTAATCCAATTAATGCACATACTCACACACACAATCGCATATATATACACACACACAGAGAGAGACCAGCATTCGAACGCGAGTATACAGGAATATACAAAATAAAATTAAAAAATCGTGGAATAAAATAGAAACTGCCATTCAAAATTCACGTAAAAAAAAAGTCGCAAAAAGAAAAAGAGAGAGAGATTAGAGAGAGCTGGAGTGTACACAGTTTTTACTTTATTTGACCTAAATTAAATAAATATTAATCAATTTGCATTATTTAGTATAAGTATGGAATTATTTTGTGTTTATAGACAATATATAAATAATAATTGTGATGTTCAACATATTTCCAAAAAATAATAGGAATTATATATTGGATTTATATGTAAGGTTAAAGGTACCAGTTAATATATTTTGATACGAGATGTTTAATAAAAGAAGACCTTTTTTCTGAATAATCATGTATGTAAGGTTTCTAGGATAGAGCTGTTAGTTTATTGAATACAGTAAGTTCGTAGTCTTCAAGGGATTTTGAGCATTGTTGTTGTGAAGAGTCAGTTTGTGCGATGAGAATTGTACGAAGAGTTAAACTGATGGGGTCGGATTATAGTTGGTAAGTTGGTTGTTTGCTTGAAGAGCATGTATTTATTAAAGTGAAATGTCTTTCTGGACGGGACGAGGGTGGGCGGACAGCGGGTTGGATGGAAGTTACCCGAAAGGAAAGGACAATCGTCGCGTCATCCATCAGGGGATGATTTTGTATGTCCGCTCCGAGATAATAATGAGAATAGAGAATGCAGAGTCCACTCTCTGGTCTAAGGGGTTTGGGGGTGGTTGGCCGTTCCTGGGGGATTTTATTCGTTGTGCGGCGTCCGCCGGGAGACGGCGAATTAATTAAACAATACAAAACGCGAACGCAATAAATCATCGTCGTCGTCTTGTCTTGGAAGGAGGAGGGAAGGAGCGAAGAGGACCATTGTTTCCGTTGTCCTTCCTCGACGGGTTCCGGTCACATCTTGGCTTCCTCTCCTTAACCGGTTCGGAAAATTAATTTCGGTAATTGCGACTCGAAATAATCGCGCAGATTAATCACGGCCGAGACAATGCGGCCAACGTAAACAACATTCGGCGGATTTTATGTAGTATCATCCTCGCACAATAATGGCTTTCGGCATTCATCATGCGACATGATTTAGTGGACAGTGTCCACTTTGTTCGATCTTGAGACCAGTTTGCCCCGAAACCGTTTCCTGTTCGCCATTAATTCGGGATTAATGGAAATAAAAATTTCGCAAATAAAAAAAAACTAACGTAATTTCATTGTCGTTGTTTGCAGATGAAAACAGAGATATCAACGGACATCCGGAGGATGACCTGAAAAGGCAAAGATCGCAATACAATGGTGATCAGCTCTACTCGAATGTAAGTGCATTGTTTTCGACCGTTGCTGGTGTTCGGGATTTTTTAATCTGTTCCTCTCTCTATCTGTGTATATAGCTGTGGTCCAGTAAATGGAGTATCAAAGATGAGCACAAGCTACTGTCGGAATTGGGCGGAACCGGAAACCAGCCGGGACAAACCGGATATTACGACACGCACAGTACCTTCCCAGGCGTCGCGAGTTCCGCCGCAGACCTCTACGACACCATCAACACCATGAGCCAAGCCACTTCTCAGGCGAATCTCTACACACCGCCTCTCACAGGATCACTTGGTAAGTTACTAAACATGATAAGCTTTCTCCATTCCCGCTTCTGTTACATAGCATACTCCCTTTAAAAAAACATACGTAACACATAGAATAAGTTTTGTTCGTTTTGCGTTTTATTTTTTATGTTTGTATTTTGCGTTTGCTGATTTAGGAAACGGCTCGCTAACGCCCTTAGCCCCAATCACTATGCACGAAATGAAAATCGAATCGACGCGAATCTTAGAGCCCGCCTTGTCGCCCTATCACACAGGTAAGGACGGTGTTGGGGACCTACGATATATTCGATATCCATCCCATTGGGACTCTATCTGACCCACCGACATAAACACATCTTATGCAACTGCTCTATTATATACAGTTTGCATCTCGGATTTGTTTATCATTCGGTTAGATATCTTTTAGAAATCACTAAATCACATCTTATTACGTCACTGTAGAGCAGAGCACCAATTGAAACCCGTTTGCACCATTCCTCGCTAATTTTTGCTTACATTTAATTTTCTAACACCAACATCTAAATGAATGAAATGAATAAAAATCTGTTTGCACATAAGTGAATTACATTTTTTAAGTAAATTAAGTGTAGACAGATCATATGAAAATATAAATAATTCTTCATTCAAAAAGAAATTTTAAAATAAAAGTATTTCATAGTATTTTGAATAATATTTTCTGAAGTATCATTCATATATGATAAAAAAAAATCAATATATGTGTACGTCTACAATTCAGAATATTTTTGATAAACCCTGTGATCCTTAGTTCTATCCTATATCAGATTGTAGCTAATATGACTTAGCTAACCGATTTTTAGTTGTTTCGGTTAGGTCACGTTTAATTCCACGCAGCATTTATAATAATTTTCGTTTGTCAAACACAATGGCGGCGTTTCGCATGTGTAATGGGCCCCATTGTGTGAGGCGCACGCGTTGCATCATTTGGCATTGACTTACGTAATTAAACCGTCTCATTGGCTCCAATCTAGCATCTGTCCTTCTTCCTTCGAAAACGTAGTTCTCACATTATAATACCGCCTCAATTTGCAAACCCATGAATGTCATTATTGGACATGTTATTCCTGTTATTCTTATTATTGTTTTCCTTATTATTATTATTATTATTATTATTATTGTTGTATTTATGATTTGATTTTATTTTGCTAATTTTTGTGTTCTCTTTTCTTTTTGTTTGTTTTTGGTTGTGTGCTTGCGCCTGCATGATTTTGATCAAAAACCAATAGCTGAGACTAGTTCTCCGTACAGTGGCGTGGTAGGATTGGGTTCGGCCGTCGACGGGGCATCCCCCGGACTGCCGCTCGCACTTCCGGCCGAACCCGGAAGTCAGCCGACGTCGCACACCGGATCACCGGATCCCGCCGCCCTTACCGTACTGCAGCCATCCAATGGCGCCTCTCAACATTACTCCACAATGTTACCTAGTTTTGGTTACACCTCAGGTACTGATCCGTTGCCAAATGCATCGAAAATTTAAGAGGCCGAAGACATTGCACGTAGCTCTATAATATTGCAACAGAAGAGTTTCCTGTTTTTAGAAACAAACAACTAATACCCACTTTTTTTTCTCCTTCTGTTTCAGCAGGTAGTACGGTAGTACCAGGATCGGATTACGCATACAGCACGGCTTACAGTCAGTACGGAGCGGCTTACGGTACCTACGGATACGGAAGCGCGTCCAGCGGGTTGCTCAGTAAGTAAACAGTGAGTATATTCGTCGCCTGCCTTAAAAATTAACACCTCCCAAATATCCTGACTAATTCTCAAATAAGAAATCCCATTCAATTTTAACCAGATTCCCCTAATTCAATAATTAAAAGAAATATAAAGTTGAAATACGTTAGTTAATATTACTAACTGTGTATATAAGTGGCGAGGATGGATCTAAAAGTTTCTTAAACAAACCAATCAATTAATATAACATATCCAAATATAGTTGAATACGATTGATATTAATCAATCATATATAAATGTGATAGACATAAAGAGATTACCATTAATTAAATAGAAAAACCATTTATTCTCAATGTTCAAATGTGAAACAAAACCGTAGTTCCTTAACACCCGAGCCATGAGTTTTCTCTATAATTATTTTCATTAATCTAAAATGCAATCCCGAATTTCTGTTTAATAACTTTCATTATGTACAAATTGAAAAATGGAGAAATATAACATTTTATTCATTATTAGACTTCATTATTTGAAAATCTAAGCCAATAAAATCTCATTATCAAAAATTTCGATTAAATAATTATTAATATATTATATTGAGTAATCATTTGATATTTCGAGAGGTTATTCAATTCTTATCTTGTTTCGTTTTAGAAATATTTTGATCTGTCCTCGTATTTTTACATAATAATTATTTTTGGGATGATAAAATAGGACTATAGGATACACTCTAAATGAATGATACAATTATTAGAAAAAAAAAATATATTTATAAAATAAATCATCTTATAGTCCGAAATATATGTATTAAGAGGTTCAAGTTTAAAATGAAAAAGCCATGTTTAACGTCTTCTGATAATTAAAGTTTTAAATCACATGGTTATATAAATTGGCGATGAGTAAATGTAATTTATATTCTTAACATATGCGTATGTGCTAATTGCATTTTTTTATTCTTTCCTGTAGATTCCGCTTATTACTATACGAACAACGAGGTGCCGATGAACAGTTCAGTCGCAAATCTAAACGGAAGTAGCGTCGCAACGCCAGAAGAGAACAGCAGATCGCCCCTTGCGGCAACAAGGGCAAACTCTCTGGCCTCCGCCAACTCGCCGACAGAGAGCGGAAGTGCGTGCCTGAAATCCGAGGAAACAGTGATCTTCGCCAGTGATCTGAACAACCTATGCTAAAGAGCCAAAAGCCAAATTCGTGTGAAAACAAACTGAGAGTGACACAAATCTATGGACTATATTGCTATGTATAGATACTGTATAGATTTAAGGAATACAATGATAGTTTGCATGATTTTCGAAACTCCCCGAATCTTTGTAAAAAAATTAAAAAAAACGATTACAAAAAGAAGTAAATGATCGTACCACGCCCCTCACATAAATTATATATGTACTACTACAGAAAACAAGTGAAGCTCGCCGATTTTAAATTTAAAATTTGAATGGTCTCATTATTTGCTTCGAAAACTTTACTTTAAAAGAAAGAAAAGAATAAACATTCACTATTTATTGAAAGAAAACCTCTTTTTTTATACATACATATTATATATATATACTTTAGTTTTTTTTATATAATTTCTTATTAAGCCACACCAAAGAAAATGAAATACGATTTAAAATTTCTATTTAATAAGTTTTATATAGTGCACGATACAATTTCTATTATTATTTTATATTATTACTATTAATATTATATATGTGTTTTTTTGTTATCATTATTCATAATTATTATTATTATTTTGTAAAGAAATGGAAACTTATGTTTACTTCTTCAGCAGCATTGACGATCAAAACGGAAGATGCGAAACGACATTCGACATGAGAGAAACAATCTGTAAACTAGTCACAGATGAAACATACTTACTTTTCGTATTTATTGCAAATATGTTCACATCAAACAAAGCAGAAGCAAAGTTTATATTTTCGGTGGATCACAAATAGCGTGTAAATAATAAAATAAACTATCCGAGATTTTATTTTCGAATTTGTAAAACGCGATGGGCACGAAGTGTCCCTCCGTTCTTGAGCATTATGTAAATGATTATTATAATTAATTTATTTGGACACACAAGCGAACGGAAAGAAAAAAACAAAAACATTATGGATATAAATTATATTTGAGAAAATTTGCGTGCGCGAGAGAATAAAAGAGTATTATTATTATTACAATTATTATTATCATTATGACTAATCGATTATTACATTACATTTATTTCCTTTTTTTTTAATCTCTGTTTGTTTATTTCTTTGTTCGTTTATTTTATTGAAATTTGCGAGGAATTCTGTAAAATGTGTAATAAAATATACCAAAGAGACGGCCGACTTATCAAAGCTGTCACGGTATTGTAAGTATTATTATGTATATGTTATAATTGTACAATGTGATAGGCCCTCTGTACTCGGCCCTTCTTGCCACGCCCCTCCCTCCGAAGCCCTCCTCCGTAACCAATCAACTCGCATCCATACACCGCCCGAACTCCTCAACCCAGGAATAAACAAAACCTGTCACATTCACTCATAGCTCGTAGGCAGTTTATACATTAGTTAAAATAAAAATGAAAGTATCAAATTTGAATCTGAAACTTAAATGAAAAAAAAAAAGAATAATATATTTGTTTTTGTTTTGATTCTCTTCTTTTCAATTTTTTTTTCCCAATTCCTAGAAATAAATATATAGCAGAAACATTACATATAAACCAATTCCAATTCTATATATTTTCAATTATTTTTTCCTATATCTTAAGAAATAATAGGAAAGTTCACAATCACATGTGTGTATCCAGCCTTTATTAGTATTTAGATAATATTTTCATTTGGAAATCGCTTTGTATTCTCTAGCTTGTAATAATAGAGCATCTATATCCTTTATTCTACTAAAATTTTGAAAATTTTGTATTCGACTTTGTCGTTCAACATTTGATCTATCAGAATTGTTTCCTTTACGTCAAACTAAACCGATTCGGGTTAGATGTCACTAAACTAATTCTTCTCAAATTATTTTGTTAGTCATTATCATACAAATCTGATAGGAAAGGTAATAGGTTCCAGAGGAACTTCAGTTGCTAGTTAATTCAATGGTCGCTAGGGGAATAAAAATGGAAGCCATGGAAGTGCTGCCACTACAACGAATCAAGACCTTTCCTATACCAACCGTAAATAAAATATATATATAAAACACACGCACGCGCAGTGGTATACAGGGGACCAAACACGATGTGTGGAGGCGTGCCCTCGCAAATTTGAAAATCGAGTGGCGCCATCTTCAGTGGTCTCTATGGAACCTTAATTCAAACGAAAGCAATGGAAAGCAATACAACCAAACATAACCTAAATATTCACCGTCTAAAGCAGCGGTCGGGGAACCGGGGTAAATTACCGAAAATGGGGTAAAAATTATTTTTTTTTGGGTAATAGGGAAATTTTACTAATTTCATCTTACCAAACTCAAAGAGCGGTTCTCTGACCTGGGGACCAAAGACGCTGCGTAGAGGCGTGCCATCGCAACCAGGGGGACCAAGTCATATGAGAAATCTGTTGTATAGCCAC